GTGTATCAGGGTTAAATAGGTACTAATCAAAAACAACCTTGGTGCCCACAAAATAGGAAAAGGTTAATTCCTATCAAGAAATTATTAAAAATCAAGTAATAACATGAAGTACATAAATTTTAAGCAAAAACTTTGTATGTAAGCTACGCTAAGAAGAACTAAAATAAATGTAAAAATAAATTAAAGTTGAATTAATGTTAAGGTTATTTTTTTTCCTAACAGTAAACTTGCATTGTTTGATTCCACTGCCAAATGTATTACTAATAATTCGCAGTGTACGTTCCCGTTTAAATCATATTTCCTCTGGATTGAAAAACTCTCTTTTGAAGAACCAGGTAAAGCTCTACCCTTCTACGGGAGAAGAATCGTAATTTTGAAGGGGGTAAGAAGATGGGTTCTAGGGGAACAGCAAAAGTCTAGAATTTCCTACGGGCGGGGAGTCTGAAGCCTCCTACAAACGGCGCAGCCCTCGGCGATAACCCCTTATCTCTGTCAACTGGCGTACGGTCTCTGGAATGTCGGGGGGTTGGGGCCCTCGTCTGGGGATATATTCCCCGAGTGTTATTTTTTTTTACGTTTTTTATTTCGTTTCGATTCGTTGCCAGTACCGATCGCTGTTTTCGCTTTGTGCATTCTTTCAGTTTGTTTTGCGCCGTCTCTCGTTGTGCCTTTGTCGCCTGTTCTCGGCTTTCCGTTCTCCGTTCCCCGTCTCCGTTCCTCGTTCTCCGCTCCCCCAATTCTCCGTTCTTCCATCTTCCATCTCCCGTCTCCCGTCTTCTGCCTTCTGTCTTCTGTCTTTCGAGGCATGCAGTCATCGGCGACGTCGCTGAATTTCATTTCATTTCAGCCAAACCAAACCATACCAAAACACCAAAACCAAAACCGAACCCAAAGCGAACTGAACCAAACCGATGGTGATTCATCGAAATTAAAAATAAGTGTTTTGTATCTGTATCTCAGCGCTTGTTTCACATTCGCTTCTGTTGTTGTTGTTGTTGCTGTGGATGTTTTGCTCACATTCCGTTGCCGGCGATAGCTTCACTATTTTCCCTTCGCAGTGAGCAAGGAATGGGTTTTTAAAGTCCAAGATCTATAATATGTTACTAAATCTGGGTTTCTGGAATTTTTAATCTTTGAAATTGATTAAAATTTGCATAGCTCAAAGTTTTCTTAGGTCTGACTTATAGTAAGGGTCACACACTTTTGTTAAATCACATATGTTTTTCAACTTTAAATTGAGTTTAGTTTATGCTTTTACACTTTAGAAGTGAGTAAGTTGGTATTAGCAAATGTCCTGAATCAAAAAAAAAAACGGGAACATTGAAGTTAAAAATACTTATAAATCCCAAAACTTATTAATTCCCGCAATTTTGCAAAGAATGAAACAGGTAACCTAATGTATGGGACTTAGAAATATTATCAAACATATAATTTAATTCAAAATCTTTAATTTGTACACATTTTGAATTACCATACTTAACCAATTGTGATAAGAGTTAGAAATGATCTTAAGCTAAAACCCATAATGCTGGAAACTCTTACACACCGAGTTGGTATGATAGCCATCCACTTGACTGAGATTTCCCATGGAGGCTCTCCAACGCAGTGCCCAGATTAGTCACCGAATGCTTCCTGCTCTCGGTTCAAGGACACCTGTTTCCACATTCCACGCCAAACGATCCCTGGCATGCAACATCCGCCATTCGAAGGCAGGTAGCTGGCTGAGTGTGTGGCTGCCGTGATAACCTTGCCGCGATTGCAGATGATGGTGCTGCTTTGTGTTTCGGTGGTGCTATAGCCAATCCTATTGCTAGTACTAGAGCTAATGGTGGTGCCTCGCATATCCTTCCTTGGTCACCTTGGGCGGCATTCACGAAATGTGTATCCATGACACGCACACACACTCAGGCACTCACACACACACTCACACCCATGCGACGGGGTATCCAGGGGACACACACACACGGGTCCGTTGTGGATTAAAATTTCTTCGTTCCTTCTACTTTTTTATGTACGTAGAATGCATTTCCCTTGGCGAAGAGTGAGCGAAGCCAAGGCGAAATGGGTGGGAGGGAGGGGGGAAGAAGGAGGGGGGCATTTATTTTCGGCATTTGAAGTTAGTCCTTTGAAAAAACGGGGGTTCGAATTCAAAGCGCTAGACCGAACGAATCGCTGCGAAAGGGACTGGAATGGAAATGTGCGAAGGGTTGCTCGTCGGCCTGTGTGTTTGCCCGTGTGTATCTGTGTGTGTGTGTGTGTGGAAGGAACACATTTGGATGCCAGACTGCCGTCGAGTCTCAAACTCCCTGTGCGACATTACGGCCAAGTGTAAGCAGCAACAGCAGCAGCAGCAGGAGCAGCAGCATGGGCACAGCACAGCAGCAACATCAGCGACAGCCCAGCAGCAACATCGAATCGATTTTGGAATTCGTCTCATGGCGAGTGTGTGGAAAATGCTGATAAATGGGAGTTAGACTCGGGACACGGCACCCAGGATACCCCCTTGACGGCTTTCACTGCCACGGCCATGCTAATGAGACCCCCACAAGAAGTCTCCACACGCTGGCAAAATAAGGCACTGATGTTCATAAAAAATATCACACATTGTTTATCTATTTAGAGTTTTTTTTGAACAAAAATAAAATATAGTTTCTCGTCTCCGTTGGTTTATAAGAACTACAAATTAATGCTAAAAAAATCTACCTCAACAAACGATAAAAAAAACTCAAATCATTTGTCAACTAAATTTTACGCAGACGTTGCTTACAAATACATCTATATTTTTTAAGCCCAATATTATAAACTATTCAAAAAGTTAAAACTTTGCTTTCAAATAAGTAATCTTTGCAAAAAGATATAGAAAATAATGGATAACTTTTGTAAGTTTGCTATTTGCTCTGATGAATTTCCATACTCAAAGTAGCTGGTTCCAAGAATTGCAAAGGCAGAACCAGTTTATACAAATTTGTAATTTTATTTTATGCTCAATCGTACTTTTTATAGAGAAAACCTTTTAGGGCTGGCCAATTTTATTAAAAACTAGGACGAGTAAAAAAATAACTGATACGGCATTGTTTTTGCTTTTCTCCGTGTAACAATTGCAGCTGCCCCCTTCGCACGACACAAATGCAGTTGCAGCTCGACCGGAATAAAGTACCCACAATCCCCCCCTAAAGTTGCCAGCTCCCTCCGACACCCGCCCACCGTGACCGATAAGTCGGTGGGTGGTTGCCCGTTGGCGGGTGGCTCCGTTTGTTTGCCCACGTCGACGCATTGATAAGATAAGCAATAGGCAAGTCGGAATGCCTGACATCAGGCCCATGGACCCCAGAAGCGTGAAAGAGGGAGCCCGCAACCCTCTACGAGTATAGCCGTTGCTGTCGTGACTAGACATTTTCTTACGGCTGCGTTTCAGAAAATTCAAAATTCATAGAATGCAAATGTTGGTTAAACAACATTTTGCCCGGCACACGACCGCGCTCCCAGGTCCAGTCGCATTTCCAGTGTTCGGTCGCAATCGCAGTCGCAGCTGAGGCACAAACAGAAACAACAACAGAAATAGAAATAGAAATAGAAATAGAAACAGAAACAGAAAGACCACACCGATTCAGGTCTCGACTGGGAAGCACAAGAGGAAAGGGGCGGTCAGCGAGAGCTTAAGTCAGGTTTTGTGAGTTGAATTTTAAGTAAAACTAACTTAAACGGCCTGCTCAGTCCAGGTTATGGCTTTAGAAATACCCAACCCAATACCGGGATTTACATTACACAGGGATTTGAAAGGGAATTTCCAGGTCAGAATTAATCTAATAATTAAAGAAAAGTTATTATACTAACGGCCTTCAAACGAAGATGCTTAAATAACTCAAAGTAAATACCCCAAAGTGAACTACAAAATCAATTTAAAAATTAAACTGAAACTTAAGGTATTGACTACAAATTACTATTTATTTGACACACCACAATGACTTACGAAAACCAGCGTATAACTTTTAAAAAGATTACATACCAGAATTGTATTCAAAATTTGTGAAGTTTTAACTTTTTACACATGTATTTACCAAATATAATTTATTATATGAAGTATGCTTTGTAAGACAATAATTTTCTTTGAAATTTGTTATTTTCTGAATTCTTTCTAGTACGTAACAGGATTTCATGAATTGCAAAAAATAGTCATTTTATAACTTAATAAAATACTATTTTAGGCAAGCTATGCTAATAAATTAATGGGGATCCTTATACGTCAAAGGAATTATTTGAAAATTGGGATGTTCACTGCAATTCTAGTCAGAATCCAGGTGGGGTCTCTCCGGTTTGCAGACCAACATCCATTTAACCTCTTGGCAAATCGGATCTTTGCATTAATATTCGAAACCGAGTTCCGAGTCGGGACTTATCTGCCTGGGGCTGCTTTAAAGCTTTAATTTTGGGGTCCAGCGAATGAATAAAATTTCCGATTGGGTGGTTTTCCCCCACATCCGTGTGCCTTTGTAAGAGTGTGCGTTTGTGTACATAATCACACACACTGGCTCTTGACGCATACGCACATTTAATGCAAATTTAAGCAGTTAGCAAGCAAGTAAAACCGTTATGTGTACACAGGGATATGAGGCTGCGCCTATGTGTGTTTGTATATAAATGCAAGTGTTTGTAAATGCATCGATGCTTATACATAATGCAGGCAATATAAATAATTGCAGTACATAGGCTGGCGAGTGTGTGTGCGTTGCATAACCGCATATGCTATATACGCAAATATCTGGTAGTGTGTATGCCTATATGTACATATGTATATATCGGCATCTGCATCTCTGGCTGGATGCACATTTCATTGCAATTGCATTAGTGTCGGGCCCTTTGTTCATTACAAAATGCAGACACACACACCACACACACACACAGGCCAAATAAAATAAATTTCCCACAAAACATTTACGCATTTGCCGAGCAAGATAAACAGCAACAGCAAACTCCCAGTGTAATCAATAAAATCGCTGGCATTTTCTGGATTTTTATACATGTTTAATTTATTTTCTCTTCTTCCGTGTCGCCAACGTCATCGTTCAAATTTTTTTTGGGGGGTTTCGCCTCCTAAAACAGAAATATCAATCGTCGAAAAACTTAGATCTAGGGAAAACTCACAATCGAAACTCAGGGGGTTTTCAGAATCAACATAGTTAATAATATAGTTTGCAAATGGAATTAAGGCATTCAGTATATTGCATATCAACAAAATCGAATCGGGCTCATTTAACTAATCCAAAAACAGAGAATAGGAGAAATCCTGACTTAACATAACATTGTACATATTTATTTATTTTTAATTTATTTAATTTAATCCTCGCTTTTTCGCTTATCGCTGCTTAAATAAAATTACGTAATTGTTGTTTTAGCATTAATTTTTGCTTGCTTGTTTATGTTTCCTTTTTTATACAATACATTTTATATCACAATAGAAAAAAGAATTAATTCGCAAATTCTTTTCAATCGTTATCTTCTCTTTTTGCTTGCTTACTTATAAATTAAACAATAAAAAATTTACAGAATTTTCTTTAACGTTTGTGTGTGTTTGTTTGTTTGTGTAAGTGTTTGGGTGAGTTTTTTGCTATTAAACAAGGTTGTTTTGTTTTTTGTTTTTTTTTTTATGTTTTTATAACTTGTGTTAATGGTTATTCTCCCCTCGTTTTCGTTATTTGACTAATTGTGGCTTGACAAAGTTTAATAACTAAGAATTAAATTTACGCATTTTCATTAAGTGTCTACTATTAACATTGTTTTTGCTTAAGTTTTCGTTACTCCTTTGTTTACGTTTTAATCAACTAAATTAAACGGCATAACTAACGACGCTGTACTAAACAAATTCGCAACGAACGACGAGAAGAAAACGTCGAGGCACAAAAACAAAAAAGATACAAACACAAAAGGGGAGCAAGAAAAATGCGATGGAGAGTGAGAAAAAAGAGCGGAGAGTCAAGTTTTAATTCCCCATACTCCCTCTCTTTTTAGCTTTGTTGTTGTATCGCTATTATGCTGCTGTTGTTGTTTTCTGTTGTTGCTGTGGCAATGGAGGACGCTGGCTTTTGTAGCCGAAGCGTGAATTAAAATAAACTATTTAAATTTATTTGCATCTGCTTAACTGCGGCCTGCATTGCACACACACACACATGTGTTGTGTGTGTAAATTTGCTGCCCACTCTCCTGCTCTCCCCCCTCCCACTGCTTATCGTGGGTCTCCATCGCCATGCACTTTGTTGCTGTCGGCCATAGCTGCAGTTGTTGTTGCCTGCTGTTTCTTTTTTTTATCGCTGCGTGCGTGTAAGCCGACGCCAGCGGCTGTCTCCCCTCTCGCTCTTGCCCCCTAGGAACAACAACACAACACAACGCAGCAGAGCGAGCTCCATGAACAGTGGTGTCTGGTATTCTGCAGAAAAATAGCTAGATTAAGCTGAAGTTTAGCTAAAGAGATATAACCTAGTATTTAAAAGATGAAATATCTTTTGCATGAAACGACATACATACTTATTGTACTGCAAAATAATATAATTTTTTATAGCTATTTAAAGCTCTTTCCAACCATAATAAAAGCCCTTTTTACACGAGCTGAATTTTCATGACTTTTCGTAAGTTTAGGTATTTTACAGTTTATGGGATCGGTTGTTTATGTATAAGTCGATATATACATATTACAGAAAATATTGTTTATGATTTCGATGTTGACTGCATCTTAGCAAAAAAAAAGCTTCAAATAAAAAATTCAGGTCGTGTAAGAAGATCTTTGGGGGTTCATTAATTAAAGTTTTTGTTTCTAAAAAACCATAAAATTGGGACCTGAACCTTGGATGGGGGACAAAACTCTAGTACATTTTTGCCAACAAAAAAAGAATTTATCTGAGTACAAGCTGAACTGCCAGCACTCTCCCCCTGTCGCCGTCTGTCCCTGTCTCTATTTCCCCAACTCCGCCCGCTCGCCTTGCTTTTTCTTGCGTGTGTTTGTGTGTGTGCCGCATTGTTTGCCGTGTTGTTTTGTGCCTCTCAGCTCGTTTTTCGAATCGTACGAAAAAAAAATGTAGTACAGCGTGTGGTATGGCAAACGAAAGCTATGAGTTCTCAGTGTATCTTGTCTGCTCAGCCTGCCCTCCCTTTCCCACTTGAAATCTATGGTTGGGAATTACTAGAGCCGCGAGCGGCCTCCTCCGCCGCACAGGCGTTGCAATCGTGGTGGACGCATCACCTGACCAGCCAGAGGCCCAAATTGAGCTTCTGCAGCTTGGGCAGCTTCATGATGATGTCGATGCCCTTGGAACTGAGTTGCGTGCAGCCGTAGAGATCGATGGTCTTGAGATTGGTCAGATCCTCGGCCAGCGTTTGCAGGCCCTTGTCCGTAATCCGGCTGCACTGTCCGATATTGAGGTTCTCCAACTCGTGGAGCGCCTTGGCGATCTTAAGCATTCCGTGATCGGTGATCTGGCACTGATTCAGCGACAGAGATCTTAGTCGGTAGAGTCCCTGGGCAATGTGCGTCAGTGCCTGATCGCTGATCTTGTCGCAGAAACTAACGTCCAGGGAGTTGATCCCGCTGCCGCCCTCCGTGAGGTAGGCCATTCCGATGTCCGAGATGTTGTCGCAGGAACGGAGGTTCAGTTGCTCCAGCTTTGGCATCCGGGCCAGGTGCTTCAGTCCGCTGTCCGTCACGGATACGCAGAAACTCAGGTTGATCGATTTCAACGAAGTCAGACCCTGGGCAATGTGACCAAGGGCCTCGTCACTCAGCCGCTGGCAGTCCTGCAGACCCAGATACTCCAGTTGCAGATTGCCCTCGGCCGTTTCGCGTGAGAAACCCGCCAGGTGACCAATGCCCTGGTCACTGATGTGCCAGCAGGATCGCAGATTCAGGTGCTTCAGCTTCTTCAGGCCCCACGCTATTAGCAGGAGTCCAGTGTTGGTGATGTTACAACAGCCGCCCAGTTCCAGGGTCTCCAGATTCCTTAGGTGCTGGGCAATCCGTCCCAGACTTGTGTCAGTGATCTGTTTGCAGAGGGAGAGGTCCAGGGTCTTTAGGTTTGGCAGATCCACGCTGAAGGCATGGCCCAGATTCATGTCGGCCACGTTGAAGCATCCGCTCAGGTTCAGCGAGGTCAGAGCCGGCACGCCCAGGACCAAATCCTTGAGCGAGCGGCGCAGCGAGAGGATCTGCACCTTCTTGATGCCCCTTTTGACCAGGCAGTTGAATAGACTCGGACTGGAGCGTTTCAGGTGCAACTTGGCCTCGACGCCCTTCCAAACGCTCTTGGCATACGCCGCATCCCGCCAGGCAGTACAAACCTGTGCCGCCCGGCCCAAATCCCGCACTGGAAGGTGCTCGAAGATCTGCTCGAGGAGTTCCGGGAACAGATTGCTGATATGGGTGCCCTCCACTGGTGGCGGACTCTCCGGCGAAGCGGGCCTGTGCGGTAGGTGGTGGTGATGATGATGGTGATGCTGTGCGTGGGCCGCTGCCGCTGCTGCCGCCGCAGCCGCTGCTGCGGCATGTTGCAAATACAAGGCCGGCGGCAGGGTCTGAAGCTGGTGGTGTGGCGGTCGGTGATGCAGGGCGTAGGGCGTGAAGCGCAGCAGGTGGTGATGCGTGGTGGTGGCCCCGGTTCGCGTTAGTCCGGGCAGCTCAGTCTGTTGATAGAGTTCATCCATGGCCCAGGTGGGCGCTCCACCTGGTCCGCCAACCGCTGCCGCTGCTCCGCCACTGGTGGCCGCTCCATTGCTGCCGGATCCGCCACAGTGGCTATTCAGATTGTTCAACACCGCCATTGTCTGGTGGTGGAATGGCAGCAGTTCCGTGTTGGTAGCCATGTCCTCCGCTTGGTTTTACACTTGGCTTATCTCTTGGCTACTACTTTGGATCTACTCGTTCTACGGAATTCCTATATACGGTGCATTTTACTGTTTTTATGCTTAGTTGAAGACTAGTAGTGTTCACTGTGGTTCACTCGCGCTGCACTTTAACTCGAGAGCACTGTGTCGGGTGGATAGTGGCAGTCCCAAGTCCCAGTAGGTCTCTTATTTATTCTGTGTTCTTGCGGTGCGGCCGAGACAGAAACGATGTGCGCGAACCGGACGACGACGAAAAACTCAACTCGAAACGCCGAGTCGCCTTGCTTTTAGCCTGAGTTGAGCGCACGGATACGCAGAGAGCGCGAGGGAGGATTATCTGAGCGTATTCAGCCATAAGGTTTCTTCGGAGCAGGTAGCCAAGTGCGCTTTCTCTCGCTTACTCTCTCGCCGTAATCTCTCTCTCTCTCCGCATCTGGCTGAATGCTGAGTCAACAGCGAGTTATAGCTAGTTTGGCTTGTGTAAGCTAGATTTACGATGTGGGTGGAAGGACATGCAGTCAGTTTTTGGTAACAAAAAAATTAGAAGCCAATACGGCTTTAAATTTAAATAATCTAATAAAGTTCTTTCTTAGTATTATTTTTAAATTATGAATAAAGTATCCTTTTTTGTTGTAAGCAACCGATTGTACACTGTCATGTGAACTGTTGAATTCCCCAACTTATAAATATGTACCTTTGCACATAAAATGGTAGTTGATATATTTAAAATAAAAGTTAGTATTGATGCCCAAACATTTGGGTATCGAATCGAATCCTAACTTTAGAGCAGGCATTAATTTAAGTCCCTGTAGTTCATTTGTTTTTGTTTATGTCTGTGGGGAAACCGTTTTGTCTATTCAGCATTTATTTATTTCTCTCGCGACATGTTTTCATTTATTTATTGTGCGCTCCCTTGGGTCCGTCTTGCCGTATAGAAAAAGCAACATTCATCTTTATTTTCAAACAGTTTTTAGTTTAGTCAGCTTGCTCATCACTGACTTGAGAGAATTGAATGTTAGATTGAGAGAGAGGGCGTAAAGCGATGAGAGCGAGAGCCAGCTACAGATACTAATGCTTGTTATAAGACCTGGCTTGGATTTATCTTTTGGTTTTGGACCCCAGCTCTGCTCCATGTTTCAGGTTATTCTTTACCCGTCGAGCCAAACTCAATGCCAAACTCCGACGCATTTGTTGTTTCTGCTGCCGCTGCATTCCGAAGTCGAGCAGGTACCTGTCTTCTCTCTCCTTGTCTTCCATCCCGCTCTGTCGCATCGGTGTGAGTGCGATCGCTGCTCGCTACCTGCGAACGCAACAACAACACAATCCCGGTTTCCAGGAAAATATTAACGATAACTCCAAAAAAGAAAAATACGTTGCCGCACACAGAAACAGATTGGGATGCACAAATCCAACGGATGGCACAACAATAGCGAACTGCCATTGTTATTGATACTAGGAAAGCCGTGCACTCTCTCTTGTGCATTTGCCCCTAAAAAAGGAAAACGCCGTCGTCTTTGCCTTCTAAAAAAATAAAAGAAAAGGGACAGGGACTAGGATCGAAATCGAGAAAAGGGCCTAGGATCTGGGAAAATCTGAGCTGCTACCTGACCCCAAACGCTCGCACCCGCACCCTCAAACACGCATACTGATATCAGCATCCTGGACTTGAAGAGGGATTGCTACACTGAGGAATAGTTGCCGAACACCGAACAAGTCAAGTACAGACAGTCTTGAAAAGTTTGAGTGATCCAAAATGTTGGAACATCAAGTTATTACTTTTATATAACGAAAGTATTACTATCAATATTTCTACAAATTGTAGATATTTTATAACCTTATATGAAATAAAAACGTTTTCTACTGTATACCTTTTATTTCCAGAGTTCCTTAAACTTGTATTACTATACTTTATAACTTGAATTTTAAGCAACTTCAAATTTCATATGCATTAAATGGCGTTAAATCCATGCTTTGGGTCCCTTCTACTGTTTCATAAGTACTTAACTATCTACAAAATTTTTTTTTTGTTATATAAGTTAAAAAGATGTAAATTCCCGTATTTTTGGGAATTTTATGTAAAAGCCTTGATTTTTCGCCTATAAATATAACTTTAATAAACTTTATATATCATATTTTGGATCCCTTCAGCAGTTAATGTGACTTCATAACTATTAAATAATTTTTGAAACATAAGAAGTATGGACACACTTTAAGTAAATTCATTTATTTTCCCCTGATGTCCATATTTAATCCTAAGAAACTAAGATAATTTAAAATTCAAATTAAAAATATAAAAAATAAAATATAAATAATTTTAACCTTACATCTTTCGATACAATTAAAAAAATGTTTAATTTTGCTCAGTTTAAAATTGGTACTACATACTGAATTCAAATTATCAAATTATATCAATTTTTCGCAGTGCATAGAAAAGAACCTACGTAGATTTCATGGGCCTCCTGCCGAGGACTCTAGCAGTCGTACAGTCATTATCCTGGCGGGCAGAAGGGCAAGGCGTGCGTCCCTCCTTGCCCTTCCTGCCCTCTCCCTTCCCCGTCGTCATCACAGTCCCTCTACCACCGCATCACAGTCCGCTTCCTCTACCTGTCAAACCGGTTTGGCCAAAAAGGGCCAATCTCCCTCTATCAGTCTTTTGGACGTGTCAAGGCGGCCATCGAAAATAAAAATAATCTCTTCGCTGGAACTCTGCATCGGCCACAGTCCTCCGTCTGCGACTGCGTCTCTGAAATATAGTGCGGCACATATAATAATCGATTGGTTTTCGGCTGGCTCTCCCTCGTCAGCTCGGATCTTCTTCTGGTTTTTTTTTGCGCGTTGCGTACTATGATCATGATCATTAAAGCTGCCGCTGGTTATGGTGGTGCTGGTGCTGGCAGAAGCACACAGGTAGAAGAAGCCAGCGGAAAAGGTGCAACACGCAGACGCAGTGCAAACGGCCCAAATGCAATCTCCGTGGGCAGATGAGGCAAAGGCAGTCGAGGCGCAGGGAAAAGGCCCACGCAGACAGTTCGATGTTTGGGCCAGCCCAGCGGATTCGATCTGCATAGCTACTTGTCTTATCTGCAGTCTGAAGATACACGATACCAGCCCAATCTGCATATGCATATCCGCGAATGGGCACATCTGCCAATTGATGTCTTAACTCCACATTTCCCCTAAATAATTGATTACGCTCAGAATTTTATTGCAGTCATGGTAATCAAATAAAGGTTTACAACTGACTTTAATACATGATATTAGGGTGACTAAAAAATTTCAAAAAAGGGTAGTGATATGTGCATAATAAATATGTACTACATAATAACCTTTATTGGAAAATGTAACAAATTTTAAAATGACTTCTATCCTTTATGAATTCTAGTTATTTTTTGGAAATCAATGTTATAGTTTGTGGGTATATAACTTTGAAATTTAAGAAAAATAGTACTAAGACAGTAATAGTACTTACAAAACCCATTTTTCTGTCCTTTACTTTTGAATTTGGTGTTAATTGATCTCTTTTTGTTACGGATACAAATCTAAATTTAAATTTTGATATAAGAGAACATCTGGCCCGCTGTGTAATCTTCATGTTGAGCTAAAGCTCAGCCAGCAGCAATTTTCATAACACAGAAGTAATAAGGACAAAGATCTCTGAGTACTCTTAGAGCATTCAATTTCACCAGCAAGATGCAGATTCGGATCCATCCAGATTGAGTCAGTTGCAAAAGTGTCAGCCAAGGGAGGGACTAACTATACAAAAGGCGCCGCCATCAAGTCCAATTGATGTTATCGCCAACTCTGACCAATTTGTGGCCTGCCCGCATCTCTTCCAACACACATCTCTTTTTTTCCTTCTAAAATCTTGAATAACCGAAGGGTGTGATCCAGTAGAAGGGAGTTGGCGGTGGGATTTTGGACACCGGCATCAGAAACGATGTCAAGCTGTGACAGATTTGTTTCAGTACATCATATAATTTGCCTTTGATCGCGCATCGAGCATATGTGATTTGTGAACACAAATATTGCCCTCATATCAAATAAACAGCTGGAATATGTACCAAAAAAAAAAAAGAATGATTAGGTATACCTTCGAAATTTATGCCTAGTCCTCCATTAGACGCAAAATATAAGACCCACAAGTTTTCAAATCTTACACTCACTATCCAATCTCGGATCTCGAAACCAAAATTTGAAGTCCACATTTCGACAAAACCAGTCATGATTTTCAGATCCCAGGGCGTGTCCTTTATCTTCAAGTGGATTCATATGAGAACAGGACATAAGCATTTATTGTGTCCTGTTGGGAATTAACACTTGTCCAGCTCTTGGAACGACTTCCTTGTTCACATTCACAAACTCTGTAAATTGAAACCGGATTGAGAGGTCATGAAGTAATCTCAAGGGTTGTCTCAAGTGAAAAGTTCCGCTACAGCTCAATGAGGTTTCCTGCGAAATATGAAAATATCCGTCAAGCGATCGAGGACCGTTACAGCAATAGAATCGGTCAGATCAGAAATAAAGTTTTACCAGGAAATTGAAATAAGTAGTTGAAATACTTAGTACCAAAGTGTTCAAAATGAATTATTTCCATTTTAGGAAATTCTTCTGAAAACAATTAAAAAGATCTTAAAAAATGAATTTCTTTAAAGACTTTAAGAAAACCAAAAGTATTCCACATATATGTAAAATGTTCCTTTATTGTTTATGTAATTTTAAATGCTATATGTATATATCTAGATATAGTATTTATATCGTAAGTAAATGTCAGTTATTATTTTTGCTTTTGAAAAAGTTCGTTTATGGCATTACGCACTAAAAATTAAATGTCCACTTCGATTTTGGGGTTCTGTTCGTTCTTAAAATTCGTTTACGCTATGACTTTAAAATACTCCCGTTACACAACTCTAGAAACTAGATGCTAATTATTAAAACCCAGACCCAACTATGCTTTTTCTATATGTATATGGCTACGGAAGGGCAGTTCAACTGAAGCAAGTTGGTTTCGATATTAGGATTAGGAGTATGTCGTATATATATAATATATATATGTACATGCCGAACCGATCTGGGGCGGCTAGCAAGGAAGTGGATTTGTGTGAGTGTATGCTAAAGCATATTTTGATTTGATTTGATACATGCGCGGTTCTCTAGGTGCTATATGGTCTCTATATAGGTAAATGTAATGCATATGTGTTTAGTATTGTTTAAACGATTCGTTGACTCTAGTCCACATGGATAATTCG